AAAATGACTTCTTGGCATTTTCTTGTCAGACCAAAGGGCCTAGGGCATTCCAAGAAGGGGTGCAGCACGAACAAAGGCATAGGGGTGTGAAATAGGAAGGTATGTGTATGTGGGCGTTGCCAGGGAGAGAAGAAAGATGAGTGATGAGACGGAAAGGTAAATGAGGGTCCTGAAGGAATGGTAAGCCTTATTATGAAGAGTCGCCTGGATTGTCTATCGTAGGGCACTGAAGAGCAAAGGCAGAGTTCTCAACACGCAGAGATATCAACAGCCATGCATATCAGAACAGTGTCCTATAGCCAATAGAGAAGGGATTGCATGGGGCAAGCTGGAGGTGGTTTGGTGGTTAAAAATACAAGCACCAGAGATGGCTTTATCCTGGTTAAAAATTTAGGAGATTCCTAGCTCCTGCTATTAGCAAGTCCAGAAGTTAGCTGAAAGTTTACTTTTATCCAATATTCAGAGCTCCCTGTCCCCACTTTGACCTTGATGCTGCCTCCCAGGGGCCAGTTTGTTGTGTTCTCTTCCCTTCGTGGCCCACATTTGTCCAAACTCTGGACCTGGGCAGAGCACGTTTATCCAACACGTTTTTGAACAGCTACTATACTCTGTTGTTCGATACCATCAAGTCCCTTTTTGACTCTAGGGGCCCCATGTGACAGATCAGAACTGCTCATAGGGTTTCTTGGGCTGTCATCTTTACGGGAGCAGTTTGCCAGTTCTTTGTCCCAAAGGAGCCGCTGCTGAGTGGGTTTAAACTGCCAATCTTTCCATTTGCGGCCAAACACTTAACTGCTGGTACCACCAGGACTCCTTTACTATGTTCAAGACACTATTTTATGCAAAGAGACTATAGCAGCGAATATCACTAAGTCCCAGCCTTCATGGATTTTAATCACAGTGTGTTCTGGGAAGAGAAGAGAGAGGCAATAAGCAAATATATGTGCATCAAATTGTGAAAAATGCTTTGGGGAAAACTAAAGCAGTGTGTAGGGGATACTACTCGAGGTAGGATACTCAGAGCAGACTTCTCTAATAAGGTTTCATTGGAGCCTGAAGCTAAGACTGTGTCCTTCCGGTACCAGCTCTCTCCAGCATCTGGTACCCGCTGCTGACATGTCAACTCTGATTCATACTGATTATGTAGGACAGAGTAGAACCACCCCATAGGGTTTCTAAGGCTGTAAACTTTATGGAAGTAGACTGCCACATCTTTCTCCCACAGAGCAGCTGGCGGGTTCATACCGCCAATCTCTCTGCAGCTGAGCACTTAACCACTGTGCCACCAGGGCTCCTCTGGCATCAATAAACCAAAAGCAAACTCACAGCCATTGAGTTGATTCCAACTCATAGCAACCCCCATTGAGTTTCCAAAGAGATAAATCTTTATGGAAGTAGATTGCCCCTTCTTTCTTCCGAGGAGCAGTTGGTGGGTTGAACCGCCAGCCTTCTGGTTAGCAGTCAAAGGCCTAAGCACCGTGCCCCCAGAGCTCCTTCGGGTACTAGTAAGCACTCTGTAAATACTCTTGGGATGAATGCTTGTCTCTGTTATGCACTGATGTGCTTGAGAATGCAGCACACGTCTAGGGTACTCTGCATGTCCATAGTACTTTGTATTTTACAAAGCACTTTTACCTTCTCAATTTCATTCCACCTCTTAACAGTGGAGTTGAAGCCGGCTGAGCAGTTACTGCCACCCCCGATCCATTCTGCAGATGAAGAATCCAAAGGTCTTCATTGTTGTGTGTTTTATGCAGCCCAGCCCCTCCTCCGTCAGCCCATACAAAGTACCCCAGAATCTAGTCATGCAGCGCCTGGAGTCATTAAGTGCTGTTCATCCCTCAGTGAGAAGGAACTGAGACACTGTGGGGCTCCTAGTGGCAGCTCTATTTCAGCAGTTCTTTCTGTGCAAGTTTTCCAACAAAGCTGACCAAAGGGAAGCCAGTTTTTTGAGACCTTGCTGTATTATTTTGGTGCTTCCCCAAAAGCAAAGCATCTAAATATAAGATGAAAGACTCAAAAGAGAAAAGCAAGTTGCTAAACCATCATTAGGCTGTTTAATTTCATGATTTCATCAGAACACACTCATGTTCAAGCTGCAACTTTATTTGGAATGTTTGTCATTTGCTTTGTCTTAACCATTTTTTTTTTTTTTTTTTGGTTGCAAGTGATAAAAACCTAAATGAACTAGCTTAAGCAAAAAGGTGAGGAATTTTAAGGAACGGGGTATCTCACAGGATCCAAAAGCAGAAACTGCAGTCAAATCTCACAAGGGCCTGGAATCAGTAATTGGAAGTTTAAAAACCAAGGCAGTTTTTCAGCCTCCTTCTATGCCTTTACCTCCTTTTCTCAAAATATTAGAGTGCTCACCAGGCCCTGCTCTTGTGTAGCTTATGTGAGAGAAACGCATCAATTATTTTAGAAACAACACTAATGAATGTATCATCCCAAATTAGAGTAAATGCTTTGGAAAAAAGCATAGTTTTATGAAAATTTGTGGAACGCAAAAAAAACCAAACTCACTGCCATTGAGTCTATTCTGACTCATAGCAACCGCCATTGGGTTTCCAAGGTGGTAAATCTTTACTGAAGTAGATTGCCCCATCTTCCGTCTGCCGAGTGGCTGGTGGGTTTGCACTGCCAACCTTCTGGTTAGCAGTCAAATGTCTTCGGCACTGCGCCACCAGAGCTCCATACGTAACACAAAGGAACCTGAAATAGAGTGAGGTGCTGGAGAAGACTTGCAGAGGAAGCGCCATTTGAGCTGAAATGCTGAGGATGATTGAGTGGGGAAGAGGGCAGAAGGAAGTTCCACAGCAAGGACAGCAGCACAGGAAGAGGCCCTGTGTAGGCCTTGTGTGGAGTCCCTGGGGGATAAAAACTGAAAGGTTGTAGTTCAAATTCACTAGAGGTGCCTCAGAAGAACGGGCTGGTGATCAGCTTCTAAAAGATTGCAGCCAACAGAGCACAATTCTACCCTGAAGCACTGGGGGCTGCTGTGAGATGGAATTGACTGGATGGCCACTGGTTTGAGTTTTTTGTTTGGTTGTTTTTCGGTTTTGTTTGTTTGTTTAGAAATCGTATAGCATTCCAGGAACTGGGAGGAGGGTGGTGAAGTGAGCAGACTAGAGAGAGATGGGCAGCAGCCAGACCATGTGGGGGCTCAAATGCTGTCTTAGGAATCCGCATCTTCACCCTAGAAATAAAGGAAAGCCTCTGAACAGTTTTAAGCAGGAGGGAAAAGAGGAAAATCACTCTGGACCAAATGAGGAGAGTAGACTGGATTGGAGGACTGGGGGTGCAGGAAGGCCAGTTAGGTGCTACTGCAGTTGTCTGTGGTAGAGAGGATGATGGTCCGGCCTAGAGAAACATCAGTGGAGACAGAAATGCAGAGAGATGTGAGAGGGGCAAAATTGTCTCGTGAAAATGGAAGGATAGTGGTTCTTTTTTCTAAGCTAGAGAACAATGAAAAAGAGATAGGTTTGTAGGGATATCATGAGTCCAGCCTTAGACATGTTGAGTTGAGGTGCTCCAGGTGGGTGGGGGTATCCACTGTCAGTGAATACACAGATCTGGAGTCGGAGTTAGAATGTCTGTTGGGAGTGGATGATGCGTAGATGGTGATTGAAGCCATGGGCATGGAGCGAGAAGACTGTGTGTGATGCAGCCTTGAGGAGCAGTAACTGATGATGCTCTGCTCCAGGAGGGTGAGCAGAGGGGACTGAGAAGGAGCAGAGCTAGGATGGCAGAAGCCAGGAGAGAGCAGCCTCCTGAGAACCAAGGAGGTGAATGACCACTCACTCCACTTTCCTCTGACAGTCTCTTCCTGCCTCTAACTACACATGGTGGCCCAACAGCTCTTCATTTCAAATTCCCAGAGAGAGAAATTGATTGATCCATTTTGGGTACATATCTACCACTGATTCAATAAGTGATGACCAGTAGGCTGTGGGGGACTCATCCCTTTGAGTGCAAACACAGTGCTCAGAGAAAAGAACCAACCTCATCTCATTTTTTTTTCTTCCCCCAACCCTGGTCTTGGGAGCTCTGGTGGTGTAGTGCCTACGGCATTTGATTGCTAACCAGAAGGCTGGTGGTTCAAACCCACCAGCCACTCCTCAAAACGAAGACTGAGCAATCTACTCCTGTAGTGATACTGTCTTGGAAACCCAGGGAGAGGTCACGATGAGTCAGATCCTACTCAACGGCAGTGAGTTTGGTTTGGTTTTGGTTAACCCCGGTCTTAGAATTCCTGTGGTCTGCCCAAATGATCTTCTGTGAGTTACTTAGATAAGCCAAGTTCTTTCCCACCTTGGATCTTGACACTTGCCCTCCGCCTAGGCTAGCCTTCACCATACTCTTAACATGGCCCACTCTTTTTAAACTTCAAGAAGGTTGAAGAGGCACCTTTCCTGACCACTTCACTTATGCAAAGTAGATCACTTCCCTGATTACTATATCATCTTATTTCTTCCACTTACTACAACTTGTAATTTATCTAATTCTTTAATTAATCAGTCTCCCTCCCACACCTTCCAAAATGTAAGCTCTGTGAGGACAAAGACAGTGTCTACCACAGTCGTTCTCAACGACTTTACACCTGGGGACATTGGGTAACGTCTGGATATACTTTTGGTTGTCACAATGGGGTGGGGGCACTACTGCCATCTAGTGGATAGAGGCAAGGGATGTAGCAAAATACCCTACCGTCCACAGGCCAATCCCCACAGCAAGGAACTGTTGTTATTGTTGTTATCAGGTCCAAAATGACAAAAGTGCCAAGGCTGATCAGTGAGCTTTTCTTCAATGTTGTATCCTCAGCACCTAGCAGAATGTCTGGTACCTACTTGAGTGTTCAGTAAGCATTTACTGAACGCATTAATTAAAGAGCTGAGCTGAACATAGATACCCCGGAAATTACTGTTTCCATGTTGCATTTATCCGTCTCTTCTTCTGGTATTCTTTCCTCCCTAGGGAAATAAGCTTTGAGTGTTTTTATAATGGCTACACAAACGAGACAAGTTTTCCATGGACACGATAATGAGTTTCAGGAAAATCACTGGTAAGCATCTTCCCTGAGTTTACAAATGAAAAAAACAATTTTTTGCTCATGGAAACTGAGGGGAAATCTCTGCCTTGAAAGGAGTTTGGGTGAATAAATGGGCATTCCGTTGTTGAATCCACCTGAGGACTTTAGTTATCTGCCTACCAGAACAATATAATAAAATGTCCTTAGGAACCTGGAGTCCATATTTTATCAAGACTTTAAAAGAGTCCTTCCCAGTTAACTGCACTGAAATGAAAAATGCTTCTGGAATCCCTTCAGGGTGTACAGGAAAGAGGGAGGGAAGGTTCAGTGGCGGACATTGATCAAACCCCTTTGTGTCTTGTAGCGTGAGGGGAAGCACTGACGGAGACTCAAAGCAGCACTTGAACCAGAAGGATATCCGTGGACGTGGCCAAACCTCAGACAATGCGTTACTGGTTACACATGTAAACCAGACCCAGGACTTATTGGTAAAGGCCACGGTGCTCTGACTGAGAAGCGGTGCTTACAAGTCATAGTCAGGGGACAGAGTGTGCTGTGCTCTGGGTTCTTCTTTACTCATAGAGGATCCCAGGGCGGAAAATGATGAGTTAAGCAGTCATTTCAAATCCTCCACTTTTAGAAATGATGGAAGAATCTCTCTGCTGTTTACAGAGATTTTACAGCCTTGTTGGCCACACTGTTAGATATTCAAGAGCATATGAAAATTCTGTCAATGTTACCAAAGCTTGAAATCTAAAGAATTTAATTCTAAAATTCCTCTTCCTGAGATAAGTGTTTCTTTTAGAATTTCCTAAGATCTAGACCCAGAAACCAGTTTCAGGGGACGCTATGGGAGCAAAAAAGGAGCTCTGGTGGCACAGTGCCTAAGGCATTTGACTGCTAACCAGAAGGTTGGTGGTTCAAACCCACCAGCTGCTCTGCAGAAGGAAGATTGGCCAATCTGCTTGCATAAAGATTTACAGCCTCAGAAAACCCATGGGGGTTGCTATGGGTCAGAATTGACTTGATGGCCATGGGTTTGGTTTGGTTTTGGTTTTATTGGAGCAACAGGGTGATGGCAGAAGAGTCAACCTCTAGAATAGCCAGGACTGAGGTTTCAGACCCACTCTCAGTGTGAAAAAGAGCCGTCTTCCCAAGATGGTGAGCAGGTTTTAGAGCTCACCAGTGGTGGTCAGGTGTGAGGCTAGACCATAACCGTCTACACTAGAGTTTCCATGTGATACCTTTGAAATGATAACCAGTCTAAAATAGTACAGTTACAATGTTGACAGTTAAACAAACAGGAAAACAGTCACATTTTGCTTTTGACAAGTTTTGGCATTTAAGGGAAAGCAAGTTTCAGTATAAAGGAAGGTTAAGAGACTCCTGAGATTCTAAAAGAATCTTTCAGAGACTTCAGACATTGATAACATAGGTCATTTCATGTAATTTCATATGAAAATGTATGATTTCCTGGTGTATGGGGACCGCTCTTAACATCAGCTCATCACAAATGAGTAACAGTAGGACGGAGGGAAAGGAAGGACTGCTCCAACACAGATCTTACCGAGCTGTCTTCTGTGTGAGGCACGTTGTTAGCCGCTGTCCCATCAGCTCCAACTCATGGTGACCTTGTGGACAACAGAACCAAACGTTGTTCAGTCCCACACCGTCTCCACCATTGCTGGTATGTCTGAGTCCATTGTTGGAGTCATTGTGTCAATCCATCCCACTGAGGGTCTCCCTCATCTCCACTTTACCAAACATGGCGTCCTTCTCCAGTGATGGATCCTGCCCGGTGATGTGTCTGCAGGAAGCAAGTCAAAGTCTCAGACAATACGCTAGGATCCTAGAGTTTTCCTGGACTAAGTTTTGGAATTAGGTTGCCTGGCCTTTCTTCCCAGTCTGTCTCAGTCTGAAATCTCCCCTGAAACCTGTCCACCGTGGGGGACTCTGCTGGTGCTTGTAATACCGATGGCATAGCTCCCAGCGTCATAGTGCTACACATGGACACATGGGTTATTTATGTTGTTTTGTGGACATGAGGCACACAAAGTATATGTAAGGTGCCTAGTTAGGTATGTTTGGTGTGCCCTACAGTCAAAATCCATAATGTGTTTAATAGTGAATCTTTAAATATTAGAAATACAAAATCCATGTCTTAAAGTCTCAATGGAAGAAATGGAAGAAAGGTGAGTTAAAAGTCTACCATGCTAAGTGTTAACCATCCAGGGTGGCGGTTTAGTCCTGAAAGATGAAGAGAGTGCCCTCTAGTGATCACATGGTGTGTAGCAGTGTTGCCTTAAGTGTGGAGCAGGTGTTACCGTTTTAAGTGGTGCTACTTATGGACAGGACTTTCATTCACATATTCACTGCCATCAAGTCAATTCTGACTCATAGCAACCCCCATTGGGTTTCCCAGAGGGTCAGTCTTTACGGAAGCAGACTGCCTCATCTTTCTTCTGTGGAGTGGCTAGTGGGCTTGAACTACCAGCCTTCTGGTTAGCAGCCAAATGCTTTAACCACTACACCACCAGAGCTAGCTATTACCTTTTCAATCCATTCTCTCTCAGTCCTTCACAGAGAAAGTCCCAGTTTGGCTCTAGTTTAGAGAGGCAATAGAATGTCATGGCTTTGAGTGTGACCTGACCTATATGCTTGGGATCTACCCCACCACTTACTGTGAAACCCTGGCCAAGTGACTTAAATTCTCCGTGCCTCAGTTTTCTTCTTTGTAAAATAGGATTAGTGATTGATAGAACCTACCTTAAGTGAGTTAATATATGGAAGTGCTTGGCACATAATAAGTGTTGTTTAAGTGTTGGCTGTAATTATTAGTATATTTCCACACTTCTTTAATTTTGAAATGGAGGGAAACTAGACCTCAGGCACAGAACTTAGGGTGTGCTATACTATCTAGCTGGAATCTTAACAGCAGCATTTTGTTTCCATGGTCTCTGTTTTCTGGTTACCTTCTGCTTATCATCAACTCTCAGGGAGAAATGAACCATTAACAAGAACTGTTTATGCAAGAACAATTGAAGCTATGTTCTACTATATCAGAGCTTTACAATGCTCATTTTATTAGCAAAGAAAGTGACTTGCCTTGGTCACCAAGCTAGTAACTGAGGAACCCCTGTGCACTTACTCCTACCTTCATTTCTACCACACTTCCTCTGTCCTTTACATCCCATTCAGCTACAGCAGAATTTTCAAACCCTTGTCCACCACCTAAGGAGCGCCAGTGGCACAGTGGTTAAGAGCTAGACTGCTAACCAAAGGGTCAGCGGTTTGAACCCACTGGCCACTCCATGGGAGGAAGATGTGGCAGTCTGCTTCCGTAAAGATTACAGCCTTGGAAACCCGATGGGCCATTTCTGTTCTGTCATATAGAGTCACGTATGAGTCAGAATTGACCTGACAGCAGTGGGTTTGGCCCACCATGTCATCCTCTACAGTGAAAACCTTGACTAATACTAGCCCAAGTAAAATTCATTGGGGGCTCAAGCAGGTGCCTAGGAGACAGGTGAAGCCTTCTTTGAATCTGGATTGGGGTCCAAAATTGGTTAAACAGTACTCGAGCCCATTGCACAGTCATCAGATGCTGTGAGATGGTGTCTCTGACAGTGAACTGAACTGGCCTCCCCTTAAGCTGCCATCCTGTGCCCTAAGTGGGTCATGGCCAACTCAGGCAACACTGAAGGCCCACCTCTGCCACCTAAACAGAACCATGGTCGTGCTGGAAGCTCTTGCAGAATCCCTCCCTGATCTGTGCCATGGACCCCTCTCCAGCCTCTTTTCATGTCATACTATCCCTTTTATTCACTAGACTGTGACCACAATGGCCACCATCTGGCCGCTCTTCTCTTCTTCAGATACTCAACCCCTCCCCACCTCCGCACTCCTCCCTGGGTTGTGCTTTCCCCAGCAACACCCAGGGCCAGCTCCTCATCCTTCAGATCTCAGCTCAGAGAGGCTGTCTCCAACCCCCACCCCACCCACAGTGGTCTCCCCATCTTCACCCCACTCCCCGCCATTATCTCTTACATTCTCCTGCTTTATTTTCTTGAGAGGGCTGCTGCTTTGTGTAACTGCTGTGCAGTTTACTGAGTTTCTAGTTTACTGTCCATCTACCCATACCAGAATGTAAGCTCCAAGAAGGCAAGAATGTTTCACCACACTGTAGCCCTAGCACCAGGGACAGTGCCTCACCCACAGGAAAGGCTCAGAAATGCCCACTGGAGCAGAGAAGGAAGAAAGGACAGCAGCCAGAAGAGTGAACAAGGCAAAGCAGTCTCAGCGCCTCAGCTCAGGGCTCTCCACCGTCTGGCTTTTCAGAAGACATGGCCATTAGTGAACGCTTGCCACGAGCTACTTCAGCTCCACCACCAAGGTCGCCCATATCTTGAACTTAGCACCATGGAACTGACAGGCCCATCACTAGGTACAAGCAAGGGAGTGTTGTCTATTCCACACCCAGACTCCTCTGATGGCTAAAATGTTCCCTCTAAAACTGTCACCCGCTGCCCTTACAACTTTCACCCATTGCTCTTAGTTCTGACCTCTTCCATCAGTTAATGAACAGAAGTTTATTAAGGACCCCTCAGCATGAAGGGGATGCAGAATGCACACACCTGAAAAGATAGAGGACACGGTGTGGAAATAAGCCAAGACCACCAAACAGAACAAACTGAGAGCCTGCAATAGCAAGGGAGTTGGCCACCGTCACTCACTGTTGGAAAGGGCTCAAAGGCAGGCAGGGGAGTGGGAAAGCTTGACAGTGAACAAAAGGGAAGGCTGTGGGTATGCTCTGCTTATTGTCATAGAGAAGGTGGTGGTAGGCTAACTAGAAGTGGACATCTTATGTGGTTAGTTTGGGGGCAGGTCTGTTTTTCTTTACTTGGCCCTGAGTTGGAGGCAAAGGAAAATTTAGGGAAGCTGGCAGTCATTGACCAAGTCCTTGCTCTTCTGGGCCAGTGGTCATTTGGCTTCCTGGACTGGTTGCTGCAGAGGTTGTGGGATAGAGTTCTGTTGTCATATGTTCTAGCCATTGTCTATCTGTATTTTCAGTCTCTTGCAAGGTGGCACAGAGTGAGTGACCCTTGAATTGCCTAGCCACATATTGTACCTTCAGGTGGGGATGAGGTGTTATGGAGAGGGTGAATTTGTCAAGGGCAACTGGCCCAGAGCTCAGGCCACCACCTGAACATCCATCTGTTCCCTCAGCAAAGTGACTTCTTGAAACAAGTAAGAGCAGTTGGAGTTGGCAACTTTTGAGTGTCTGTGAAGGGGACCTAAGGTCCTCTTATGTTTGCCTTCACTTTCTACACTTCCCTCCTTGACTCTGGCTTCTGTCTTGTAGAAGCTGCAGAGGAGCAAGACCCAGCCTTCAGCTTGGGACTGCTCTGAAGATTGGCTTTCAACCCACAGTTTACAGTTTGAGAAACTCACCTTGCCTGACCTGCTAAGTCAAGGCACAGCTGTTCTGTAAGTGTGAAGCCTCCCCTCACCTCCAAGTCAGCATGACACTACCAGCCCCATGGGCCCCAGAGACCGCTTCATAAGGCTTTGCTTCTTCAGGGAGGAGGGCAGCAATGTCAAACAGAAAGTGCACTTCTCCACCCAGATCATCCACCATTTTGAATCAAAGCTTTCTGAGTAAGTACATTTCTCAGTGCCCTCCCAACAACCCCACAGCACAAAAAATAATCTCGTTCCAGCAGCCTGAACGTAACACTGTTCAAATAGCAATCTGTATGGGACCTTGGACAGATTTCTTCCCACTTCAGGCCCAGTTTCCTGTTTTCTGAGGAGCCCTGGTGGCACAGTGGTTAAAGTGCTTGGCTGCTAACAAAAGGTTGGGGATTTGAACCCTCCAGCTGCTCCTTGAAAGAAAGATGAGCAAGTCTGCTTCCATAAAGATTACAGCCTGGAAGCCCTGTGGGCCAGTTCTACTCTGTCCCATGGGGTCGCTATGAGTTGGAATCGACTTGACAGCAACAGATCTGGTTTTCCTCTTTTCTCAGATGGCAAGGTTAGACCAGATCAGTGTTACTCAGCCTCTGAAAATCCATGGTCCTTCTGGACAGATGTAAAACCTCATAGCGTCATTTGATGTTTAATAGTTAAGAGTGATCCCACTTTCAATGACAAGTTGGTTGGGCTCATACTTTACAAATGCAAATGTGAAAATATCCATGCACTCCTCCCAAACCCAATTTTTATGCCACATGTATACATTAAAACAAACATGTCAGTTTGAAGACTAAGGTGTGCCTTACCTGAGCCATGGTATGTTCAGTCACCTCTTATGCATGTGAAAGCTGGACAGTGAATAAGGAAGACTGAAAAGAGTTGATGCCTTTGATTTGTGGTGTTGGTGAAGAATACTGAGCATACCATGGACTGCCAGAAGAACAAACAAATCTGTCCTTGAAGAATGCTCCTTAGAAGGGAGACTGGCCAGACTTCATCTCACCTACTTTGGTCGTGTTGTCAGAAGAGACCATTCCCTGAAGAAGGATATCGTGCTTGGAAAAGTAGAGAGGATCAGCAAAAAAGAGGAAGACCTTCAATGAGATGGATTGACACAGTGGCTGCAACCATGGGCTCAAATACAGCAAGGATTGTGAGGATGGTGCAGGACTAGGGAGTGTTTCATTCTGTTGTGCATGGGGTCACCATGAGTCAGAGCCGACTTGATGGCACCTAACAATATCAATGTACAAATGCACCTCCAGATTCCATTAGACAGATTCCATTCCAGCTCTAGTAATCTGTTGATTCCACAATTGCTGTTTATCTGAGGATTCTTAGAAGGTTATCGTAACAGTTAATAGACCAGTAAGCCAGTTGCTGTCACATGGACTCCACTCCATGGGGGCCCCGTGTGTGTCAAAGAACTATGCTCCACAGAGTTTTCAATGGCTGATTTTTCAGAAGTAGATTGCCAGGTCTTTCTTCCAAGGTGCTTCGGGATGGACTTGAACTTCTGACCTTCCAGTTAGCAGCCAAGCACATTAACCTTTTCACACCCAAGGACTCCATGTTGTTGTTGTTATTTGCCATCGAGTCGGCCCCGACTCATAGTGACCCCTCCTTGGGTTTCCAAGGCAGTATCACTACGGAAGTAGGAATGCGCCCAACCTTCCTTCCGAGGAGTGGCTGGTGGGTTTGAACTGCCAGCCTTCTGGTTAGCAGTCAAGTGCCTTAGGAGTTTCTTAGCTAACATTTATTACTGGGTCAGGAATTCTGCTAAGGGTTGTATGTATTATCTTTTTCAAGTCTCACAACAACCTGAAGTATAGTAGTATTTTCACACCAGTTCACCAAAAGTCTGTTGCCAAGTCTAACCATTCCCTGAATTACCAATTTGCCAAATTTATTGAAATATTTTAACAATAAATTTTATAGCAATTTTTATTGGGTTGGACAGTTTAAACTAGTTTTAAAGATTTCTGCAAAGTTTTGGTTGATTAGTATTCATTTTTATTCCAGAACAGCATTTTAATGAATGTTCAAATCTATTCAGTTAATTGGTCATTTGGAAAATTGATTTTTCAGAGAATTGGCTTTCAGTACATTTATTTTTGGTAAATTGATTTAGAGTCCTGTTATTATCTTCACGTTGGACATGATGAAGCTGGGGCTCATAGAGGTTACCACAGTTGCCCGAGGACACACAGCTCCTCAGTGGCAGAACTGAGTTTCAAACGTGAGCATATCTCACTATAAAGCTTCTACTATTAGCTCTGTTCATCCACGTGTATCCATTATAATTCAACCCCTCGCTTACTACCCCGTGATTTCATATCCACAGGCCTTGCCCCATTCTTGGCCCCAAATCCCAGCTGTCCTTAGTGGGAATGATTCAATTAAATTCAAATGACCAAGTCCTCACCTTGAGCATCTGTTATATGCTAGTCTCTAACTAGCCATCGCAGTGCTTTGCAATAAGGGAGTTCAAGACATTCCCCTGGCCACTTTAAGCCAAAAATATCCCCTGTGCATCATCTTGAAACCAAACAAGGCTTTACCTTAACTAGTAAGGAACATCTGCCTTGAGTGTTGTGTGCTTTTAAGATCTATGTACATGGGATCGAATGACAACAGCAACTTGGAAGATGAGATAGATGCCTTAGAGGGTGGTGAGTCTACGTTCATGGAGGAGGGACAACTCAGGAGGGTGAGAACGGCTGCACGACTCGGTGACTGTAATGGCTGTCACTACATTGTACTTGCAGAAACCGTTGGATTGGTGTGTGTTTTGCTGTGTGTATTCTCAACAACAACAAAATAATTGTTTTTTTAAAAAAAAGAGAGTTGAAGAAAGAAGTTCTCCTGGCTACTTTTCAGAAATTAAGTTTTGTGTTAATCGTTCCCCTGAGAAGCTGCGCTTTGAGATCTGTTTTCAAGAGTCTAGGACTAGTCTCATCTGACAAGGCACAAATTTGAACAAGTACAGGAATGTTCTTCCACCTTCCACCTGCAAAAGCCCTTCCCCATCCTCTGTAGGCCTGTCCTCCTCAGCAGGCCACCTTCCTTTCACCAAACCATGTTACAGTCGTTAGGTGCCATTGCGTCCGTTCTGACT